TGATTTGCCAACAACCTTCCAACCTATTCCTGGCGCCGATGAGCTGCCCGGATGGATCAGACGAGAGACCTGGGTACCATCCGTCGAGACGGTGCTCGCCCACCCGAGCGTCAAGATCGCCATGCATCACGGCGGAGGCAACAGCTTCAACGAGGCCGTCGCCTTCGGCAAGCCTCAACTGATCGTCAGTATGTGGGGCGAGACGCACGACATCATGGCGTACGCTGTGCACCATGGTATTGCCATGGGATCCAAATTTGCGCCCAGACTCGTCGCTAGCGATCTACAAGCCTCTATGACCAAATTGCTGGAGGAAAACATCGAGTTCGCTGACAGAGCTCTACGCTGGAGGCTTCGCTCGGAGCAGTCTGGAGGTACACCGATCGCCGCGGACATCATCGAAGCTTACGGCAGTAAAGAAAGGCGGATCCAAGGCACGCAGGACGGGGACAGCACAGACATTGAAGCAGTCAATGCTTTGACGATCGACAGCAACGAGAAGGGCTTGTTCACTCCCGCCCTCGACAAGGAGCCTCACTCATCTTCAGCGTCGTCAGTCGGCAGCCCCACGATTGCCGAGCAGACGGTCACATTCCCCTCTCCCACCGCTTTCCCTCCACGACCGCAGCTCCTGATCCAGACCCCGGCCGCTGCGCCGGTGGTAGCAGCGACCGCCTGACGAACCACTGCTGCCACCTTCCTCGTCCGCTCCGTCTTCCGTCTCTCTCTCACTCTTTTCCTCTTGCAGTACCTTCCATGGCTGCGCTTTGACTGCCTGCCAGGAGCCTTGCAAGACAGAACCGTCACCTCATACCCTCATTTGCTTGCCCGTTTATATAGACTAAGCCACCGCTATTCCGCCTGCGACATTTCAGCTTGAAGGTCGCACCCAATTGCTTCCTCGCGTTGTCGTTCCACATCCTTGGCACGCACACACATATTCTCTCTCTCTCCCTAAGCGAGGTTGTTTGCGCCTCCGCACCCTTTATTTGTATTTCATCCTGATCTTTTTGTACCTGGGCTCTTCGCGCGACTTTGCCTCGAGCTGGCCCTTTCTGCTGAAATACATCGTCTCTTGACATTCTTGCGAAGCGCCTGTACCGCAAAGCCGAGACCAGCACTTGGACTTTTCGCGCTCCGCGCCTCGGCAAGCACCAGCGGCGTCTCGCGACGACGACCCCGTCG